AATGGAGCTCGAGTTGAATATATCTGTAACAAGTTGGGCATGATCAATATATATGCTCCAACTCGAGGGGGAGTGTTGACATACAAGTTTTCTAGCACATGTATACACATGTACTACATCATAGCTAGCACATGTATATGAGTTGTATAGTAGGTGTAATACAAGTTGTGTAGCACATGTATACACATGTACTACATCATAGCTAGCACATGTATATGAGTTGTATAGTAGGTGTAATTAGGTGTATGGCAACTAATAGATTAGGTGAATTAGTATTATAAATAGGCCTTGTAATCTTCTCTTCTAGATATGAAATATAGAACTTCTTTGGTTTCTAAGAGTCACATTATGAATAATATAAATTTCTAAGTACCTCTTCAGCTAACCTTGTCAAATTAGTGCCATAGGCATGTTTTGGCCAGAAGTTCCACCTCAAACACTAGCACCAACAGCCTAATTACTCTTGCCTATCATTCGTATGACCTATTTTTTATTAAAAAAGAAATTGATTACAATGAAGTCGAGCTATTGCAATACCTCCGACCCCACCCAAGGTACCAAAAGGAATAGAGCATAAAGATGATAGTACCCAAAGGAAGCACAAACTACTTGCCACTTTTGAATGGAGAGTTTGTCCAGATTTTAAAATTGCATTGCACCCTTGCAGTCCTGTGAAATTGGTCAACCTTACGGAGGGTGCTTGTACACTACTTAGCATTTTAACAGTTCTTTTTGTTTTCCCAGATCCACTATGCTGTCCAGTCCTTCACCGGCAACTAAAGATGGAATGTTTGTTCACTGAACTAAAGCTCTAGCCATGATGGACCTGCAATGTGATATGATAGCACATCAGAAATACTCACTTGTGCTTCCTTTGCTTGTATTCCACAAACATACAATTCTTAAGCATCTGAAGGAAATTATACAAAACCAAGTTCTGGGGGTTGTAGTCAATTATGAAAAACATATTTTTCTCATCAACCTAACTTTAACAACCTTAAAACATTAAGCAAAACCCTCTATCCAAATTCTTGGCTTGAAATATAAAAGGCACTTGAACAAATTGCCTGCCAAAGTTTGCCTTAACAGCAGATTGAGCATAGCATATTCGTCATGCTTCCCCTGAGCAATAAATGCTATGTTCAATCTGCTATGTTCAATCTGCCTGTACAAGCACATTCTTCATCTTTCCCCAGATCCGCTGTTCAGAATTTTGAGGAATTGGGTCTTCTTCCACATTCAGATGGGAGTTGGAAACTACTTCCCCGAAGGCATTCCATGCTTGCCTTAAACTTAGACAAACACTTCACAAAACCACAAAAATAAGAAACAGAAGCAAAAGCTATTGAAAGCTCTTTCCCCGATCAACATGTAAATCTTTCCCATTTCCATCGTGCTTAATTTCATATATATTGTCCAGAGCTTCACCCCGCGAGAACCCTAAGATTAGTGCAGATTAATAGTATTTTATATGCTAATTTGATTTCTATTAGAGACATTAACTCATTTTCCTCTCTAGTTCGATATAGGTGCTTGGAGATGTTATTGAGTCCCTTGCTGGGTCGATCTTCATTTCAGATCATACACACTCTTCCGGAACCATTAATTACACCTCATATAAATAAACATCTAAAATCCAGTCACTGACTAAGAAACAGCAAGTTTTATCTTATGAACTCCAACACCAAAATTCTCTTAGGTCAATATGCAAAGTCGCAATCATGTATATATAAACATATCCCAAAGGTAAAAACAAAGTCTTCAGTTATCAAAGCTAATATCATCACAGGAGGTGAGAACTGCTTTGCTTACCGTCTAAAATGCAGCTTCAATATAGATATAAAATCTTCAGATAAGTACCTCTGCAAGGGTTGGCAACATCGCTTTCATCCTTGAAATTCCTCACTTCAGTTGTAGATCAAAAATGATTTGACTGAAGTAACCGCATGTAATCTTTATCATTCACATATATCAACCAATTCAATGTCATACTGGAACCATGAGTCTGGTGCTTCTGGGTCCTAGCCTATTTCCCAAAGCTGCATCGACAAAAGGCATGAACACAGAAACTTTTTAAGCGTTGGAATCACGACGAGGAAGTCTAAATGATGTGCATTTTCAGCAACGACTTTATATAACCCAAAAATAGTGGAACAATGAGTCTTCCCTTTTCACCAACAGGCAAACCTGAACAACTTGTAAGGTTGTAGTTTAGCAACGCCTAAGGGACAGTAGAATAGAGTTCTTAAGATACAAAGGAAATAGTTTCAGCCTATGCAAATGATTACCTTCAATGACAATGTTCAATACCTTAACTATTTTCTTGTCACCTGATCAAAGACAGGCAAAACAAAATTTAAAGAGATATTCAAGTACAGATATCAAAAGTTTTCCAGATGGGGCTTACCTTGCCACTTCTTACATTCTTGAAATCATTTATACCTCTCAAGAAGAAAATTTAAAAATCAATTTTGCCTCTTCAGATTCATCTTTGCACTGTCCACTTTCCTCCTCCTCATTGTAGTTTATTCTCTGCTATTACAAAATCTACCAGACCCTTCCTTTCACTTCCTACTTAGAATGTAACCTGGCCATTCTTTTTTGACGGAACGAAGGAGGTCGATTATTGATGCAAATCAAAAGTAAGCAACTCAACCTTGATTTGGGTTCTTCTGATATTCTCCACTCTTAATGAAAGCATAAAGTTTAGGCAAATCCAATTATTGACGTGTGTCCTTTATTCTTCTTTTGATTGTTTTCAGGCTTGAGAACTTAAAACTCTCTATCCCGTGGATACTGGTCATCGTTCAGAAGGCTTCTTATAGTCTGTCCATTAAGATGTATTGCACTGCTATGATTTATGTGATCATTCTAGTTATCCTGTGTCTATGAAGTCACAGGAACCAAAAAAAGGTATTAACCAAATAAAGGGCCAAAAACAAAGAATATAACAACGTAGAATGACAAAAAAGGAAGAAAACTTCAAAAAAGAAACGGCACAAGAAAATGAAACGAAGAAGAACAGAAGGAAAAGGCCCAGCATAGTAATCTACCCGAGTATACATTACTCTCAGCTGACAGGATTTACAACATTTCATATCATTACCCTCCCTTAACTTCGAGCAGGAAAGGGATGATAGTGAATAAAGTATTTCAGTAGCAAAGGTTACCCCAACAATGAGGACCAAAATTGGTAAAAACAAGCATTAGTCAAAATGGGAGTTGGCTTATAGTAATTCTAGTCAAGGAATGAGTCATCCCCAAAGAAATAATGAAAGCGATAAATTGAGCCAAATATACCAGACAGACTGCTTTGAAAAGACTTACCTTTCTTTTGTCCTTACTGTGGAATCATTCTTGCAAACATCTAGCAGATAATTAAAGCTCTAAGTCAATGAGAACTCCACTTGTTCATCATGCCGCATAGAGTGCACAGCAAGAAGGAAAAAAAGATGAATGTTGGATAATATGGATGGTTAAGGATTGCTGTAAGAGGATAATCTTGACAAGTGCAAATAAACGGAACCTTTTCTGTAAGCTTCACATCCTCCATAGTACCCTTTCAAGATCTGATGGTATGAACATATCTATGTGCCTTTAACTCGCACAAATAATGCCCAATCAAGCATAAGACAACAACAACAATGCATCACAGTCATTGTATCAAAATACGAGGATTTAGTAAAAGCTCAAACAGAACATGACTAACAATTTAAAAATTGTTATTTGAGTTCAGGAGCAAAACACATTCTGTTGCTATAGAAGTAAATGTGTGCGCTAATCTAATAAGACTTACTTAAAAAACATACAGAATCTCCAGAATTTATTTGCAAACTTAAGTAAATACAAGCCTTTAGTGTATGGATGATGTGAATGTTCCTGTCTCCTTAGAACTCACGATATAGTACAAGCATATAGAACAGAAAGTAAGGTCATGTATGAGGTGCACATTCCTGATGCTTCAAAAGACCACCAAGATCCAAACTCTAAGGAACCAATATCCTAAGGGTTCCAAACTTTCCAAAAGTGATAGGTATGTGTTGCTTCTTGACATGAAAACTCCTCAAGGACACAATTAGGGGTATCCTAGTTTCCTTATATATAGTTAAATACATAAAAACCAGGAAGAGACTATTTCTTTTTTCAGCTGAAAAGCTGAATGATGTTGTGGTATATACTAAGATATGATAAGCTATGCACATGGATTTCTTCCTGCTAACATTCTTACAACTATTTTTTGCTGTAAGAGGATAATTTTCACAAGTGCAAATAAAAGGAACCTTTTCTGTAAGCTTCAAATCCTCTGCTGAGTAGCCAAAGGGTTTGAACTATGCAGCTGATACTAGACATTTCAATATTCTTATCTATTTTGCAAATAAATAATATTGAGATGCCAAAAGTGATAAACTTATTCAGGCAAGTCCGTAGTACCCTTTCAAGTTCTGATGGTATGAACATATCTCTATGCCTTTAACTCACACAAACAATGCCCAATCAAACATACTAAGACAACAACAATGCTTCACAGTCATTGTATCAAAATAAGAGCATTTAGCAAAAGCTCAAACAGAACATGACTAACAATTTATAAATTGTTAGTCGAGTTCAGGAGCAAACCACATTCTGTTGCTATAGAAGTAAATGAGCGGGCGGTAATCTAATAAGACTTACTTAAAAAACATACAGAATCTCCAGAACAAGCCTTTGCAAACTTAAGTAAATACAAGCCTTTAGTGTCTGGATGATGTGAATTTTCCTGTCTCCTTAGAACTCGACGATATAGTACGAGCCTATAGCACAGAAAGTAAGGTCAGGTCATGTATGAGGTGCACATTCCTGATGCTTCAAAAGACCACCAAGATCCAAACTCTAAGGAACCAATATCCTAAGGGTTCCAAACCTTCCAAAGTGATCGGTATGTGTTGCTTCTTGACATGAAAGCTCCTCAAGGACACAATTAGGGATATCCTAGTTTCCTTATATATAGTTGCCAAATACACAAAAACCAGGAAGAGACTATATCTTTTTTCAGCTGAGAAGTTGAATGATTTTGTGGTGGAGACTAATATGATACGCTATGCACATGGATTTCTTCCTGCTAACATTCTTACAACTATTTTTTGTTTACTCTTAAATCAAGCTCTTTTGGACTACAAGTATCATAAGTTCTACAAACTTGATATTCCTATTATCTAATTCCATGATGGGAGCGAAGGGAGATTGATAGAGTCAAATCACAGAACTGCCCGAAGATACACAAATTATCGCCTATGTATAGATCTATCACATGCTCTAAAACAAGATGTGAATCATCAAATCTGAATAAGTTGGTTTACTATCAAAAGATAGGCAACCAGGCTACTGACACTCTGTGTCATAAAAGTTGATATGCTCCGTAATGGAATATCTAATAATCTACTTAGGTTAGTTGATGCATTTCATATAAACAATAGGCTCATGAAACAATAAATACCAATATTAACTGTTCAGAAGAATGAGAAGTTCTTCCAACTATTAGAAAAATCTACTGCAAACGCAGTATCACAGGCAATATGGCTGATAAATTTACCGTTTAACTTACAATGCAAAAGCTAAACTGACCATACCTTCTTGTAGCAAATCATAAAGAGTGACCATATCAGAACCACGTAGAAAAGGTCCTTCCCACTAATAGATAGAATCATAGGATTCACTAATTATCCAGAAAACAACAGTATGAGAAGCCAGATAAAATTATAATCAACTGTTACTTTATGTAAGTTGCTAACACAAACCCAATATCAGGTTTGTACTTCCAAATCCAGTACAGCTTCGCAATCTGACTATCCAACTAGAACAGGTTCGTTTGGGTTGGAGATTCATTCCTTGTATCAGAAAAACAGACCCCCAAATAACTAAAGCACATTTTCAACCAATTCAAGAAAAATATTGTTAACCTAGAAATACAATTGGGTACTAATTAGTAATTAGACATCCTGAAAAGAGTAACACCAATTCAGAAAAAAAACACCTAAGAAAATTGCAGCAGATACAAACTAATGTCTGGAGGTAAGAAACAGACAATCGAAAAATTGGGAGCATTTAGCGCATTGGGTCCATTGAGAATTGCGATCCTGGAAGGAGCTTACCGCTTGACTAATATCATCTTAAACTATTTTTCAATCACATTGCTAATTTGCGCAGAGTTCATAATGGTATTGGTTTAGAGTACACAGTAATTCAATTTTGTTTAAACAATAATTCACATACATGCTTTCAAGAATCTACTCCTGAATTTGCATGAAATAACAGGTCCTAACATTAACTTGCATGCACATTTTCAACCAAGAAAATATCCGCACAAAAAAAAAAAAGACACATGCTCATCAAACTTCATACTCAAGATTTGGTTATAAGTAACAAAGAAAGAGAAAGAAAAACTCACAAGAAAGTCATTCAATATGTAGGTTGGGTTTTTATTGTCACTTCAAAACGAGGTCCCAAAAATCGCATTGTACACCATCTAAAAAATTAGAATCTCCACATTGCCCGTCCCACCCTTTGTCATCTAATATAGTAGTAAAAATTCAAGAGGTTCATCTACCAAAAAGATGTAACTGACCCCCAAAATGCGCCACACCTACTACTGTGTGACCTACTGTCCATAACTATGCATCGGGCTTTTTGCTATTAACTTATAGTCCATGAATACCCTCAGGCAGAGCCATATCCGTAAAGTTCATGGAGGAAATCCCAGTATTTATTTAGCATATGATCATCTGGAGTTACTTGATCCCACTTGCCCGTACAAAATATTGCATATGCATCAGCTGCATACCTGAAAAGTTAAGAAAAGCAAAAGAGTTGTCAAGTCAGTTTCTCTAGGTAATTGTGATGACGAGTAAAATCCATATGTAGTGTGCTACAGTGCAAAGCTCATTGTACATATTCCCTTACTTGCCAATACCATGCAGTTGCGTCACATGAGTCCAACTTTCTCCCAAATATTCTTGAGAGAGCCGTTGAATCATCCGTGTTCTCTTCCTATATATTCCTAAAGGTTGTATCAACTTTTTAATATCCTCCGGAGCAACCTCTGTAGCAGCCATTGCATTTGGACAGAGAGTGAAAAGCTCCGATAAGACTCTGCGAACCTATTTGCATTGTAGGCAAGTGTTAGTAGGAATCCATATCGAACAAACATCTCTGGGAAGCTGAAGCATATGGAACTCAAACATTCTTTCAAATAATATTCAGTATACTTATAAGTAGAACATTGAGACCTCGGGGAACAAATTTATTACACCAAATTTAAGACTAACATAATTATATGGCTCTCACACTTCTTTAGGAGTGTTTATGAGGTTCACTTCTAGTCAACAAGCAACCAAAGTGCAGAAAAAGGGGGATGCTAAGGTAATCCTACCTTCTTTCCTAAAGCTTTCAATAATGCTCCTATTTTTGTGGTTTTCTGCTATTATGGTGTACATTTTAGTAGATAGGTACAACCCAGTCCTCATCTATTCTACGTCCACATCTTATTAGGCCAAGCATCTTCTCGTCAAGATGGGTTTGACGATAGCTACTTTTCTTCCTTATTAAACCCAGAAAGAAGTATGACCCCAAGTGTTGAACAAGGATTTAACAAACAATATGAGTTTGAGGGTGTGGGTGCTGTAAAATGATTGAAAAATGAGCAAAATTGATATCAAAGAGAGAAACTTTCTGTAGCTTTCCCTGTCAGCAAGTGGTAATGTGGATCATGCTCATGTACTAAACAGTAAGCTATCTTTCAGCACATCTAAGCTACCTTTCAGCACAGGTAAGTGTCTATTGGCTGCCCCATACAAAATTGCCTTATTAAGTGAGGTTAAAAACAATCTTTGATCATGAAATAAAATTCAAATTTTGGCCGGACAGGGCAAAACACGTTTGACAATGTTCTTCAAGGAGGACATGCTCCATATTATGTGCGGGTAATGAAATACTCCCTCTGTCCCAATTTATGTGGCATTCTTCCTTTTTAGTCTATACCAAAAAGGATGTCACTTTTCTATATTTAAAAATAATTTAACTTTAAAAACTCAATTTTACCTTTAATGAGATATTTATAGCCACACAAATATGACAAACTATGCCACCTAAATTGGGACGGAAGGAATGACAAACTTTGTCATGATATTTAATGCTTTTTCACTATAAATAAATTGAATTGGACAAAGTATTTAACTTAAACATTATTCATTAAATAGGACTTTTAAAGTAATGCAAAACAATAAAAGATCCCGAATGATACTTCAGTTTTGATGCTTGGGCCTATCCTTGCCTCTGTTCCATTATGTTGTTGGGATGGTAGTTCCCTCGTGGAAAGGCATTCAGAACATCAGAAGCATTTACATTTGTCAAGTAGCTGATATTTTGACACAATTATTTTATTAATAAACTGCCTATATATGACCAGAGGCGAAGCCAGGATTTGAATCTTATGGGTTCGGGATTGTAATCTTTTTAAGTTACTGGGTTCTAAATTAATAAGTTATCCATAATCAATGGATTTCTTGAGACAAATACATGGTTTAAACAAAAGCTATTGGGTTCGACCGAACCCGCATCCCGCACTCTGCCTCCGCCCCCGTATATATCCCCTTTTCGAGAATGGAAATCTGCCTAAAATATCCTTTTTAGGTCTAAAAATTGTTTGCTTCCTAATTGTCCACCGGATGCTGCTTTCATTGTATCTATGTAAAATAGCACGTGCTAACATGGCTTATGAGGACAACAATGCCATAGACCAAGAATACACCTTCTGTACATGTTCCGTAACTTAATATACAGGAAACTTTATCTATCCAGATAACCAAACATCTCAAGAATCAGCGATGACTTATATTTCAGCTCATCATCTTTCAAACCATAATAGCCAAATAAATGTTATACCACATAGAATTCAATCAATTCCTACAATGTGAACAAGACAATGCAAATATTTTACCTCCCTACTTCATGACAACTTTATTTACTAACAATCATTAGTTTGCTGTCTACTTAGGAATGATTCAGTAAGGGAACAGTGGCTACAATTACCTGCAAGCCAGTGGTGCAATTTAGAAGCATACAGATAACCAACACCCTCCAAGGATCATGAGCATGGTCTTCTTGCAGGAGACTAAAATGGGATCGGGGAGGTACCCATGTGTTATCTTCAGTCCTCCTTAAATAGGCCTTGTCTCTCTTCTGAGCAGCAGAGAGATAATTTTTCCGCTTTTTTGAGTCTGTTCCACCTCCTGCCGTGCTGATCACTGCATTCTCTTTTTCACAATGTGCATTATGGAAGTAGGGAGAAACCTTTCTCCCAGTGACGCACTTCTTTGAGGGCGAGTTTGGTCCATCCTTCCCTACCTTTATTTCTTCTCCTACTTCTGAGTTAGCAAAGTAAGGGGAAACCACTCGAACTTTGGCTTGTGATTTTTTGTCAGTTTTTTCATCTTTTTTCCTCACACATTTTAGAGTTTTTCCTTTCTTCATTTCAGTTTCTCCATTCTCCGAGAAACAAGGTTTCGGTTTTTTTGAGTCTGTTCCACCTCCTACCATGCTGATCACTGCATTCTCTTTTTCACGATGTGCATTAAGAAAGTAGGGAGAAACCTTTTTCCCAGTGATACAGCTCTTTGAAGACGAGTTTGGTCTATCCTTCCCTACCTTTATTTCTTCTCCCACTTCTGAGTTAACAAAGTAAGGGGAAATAACTGGAACTTTGTCTTCTGACTTTTTGTTACATTTTCCATTTCTTTTCGTCACACGTTTTAAGGACCTTCCTTTCTTTATTTCAGTTTCTATCTTCTCTGAGCTCACAAAGTAGGGGGAAACAACTCGTACTTTCTGTTCAACGCATACATCATTTACCTTGTCACAATTTGAAACACAAACTCTTTTTGTCTCAGTCATTGTTTCATCCATCAGATTCTGAGATATGCAGGGTACGCTACCTTCTTTCCCAAGAAGTGACAAATGACTCTCAGTTCCAGTCATAGAGCCAGATATCGAAACCTTTTGGATTGTTTTCATCCTGTGAGAGAAAGGACTACAAACTTGTGACTCAAGGGCATTCTTGTCACCTTCAGTTCTCGTTTTAACAGAACTAAAGTTTCCACCTTTGTATGCAAACTGTGAAAAGAGATCATCAATACTATTAGCTACAACATTATCACCACGATTTACAGGCAACGAAGCAACAGTAATACATCCCTCTTCCAAATCACCAGATTGTTTAATATCCTTCTCATTAATATCTTTGCTTGTCATCTCTTCCCAGTTGGTATTAGGAGGACCATTCAAGACGGGGTTCACATCCATTTCCCTTTTATCTGGATTTGCATCTGTTTCATAAGTAGAACCAAGTTGGCTTCCTGCTTTCGCATCAGAGATACCACGCTTAGCATTTCTCTTTTTCTTCCTTTTGTTACTCTTCTGATGCATTTCCAAAGTAACATCCAGACACTCAGTCTTTATAGGCTTCACACACAAATCAGAATTAATAGCTTCAACGGATTTATTCTCCTCACAGTCAGGCCCTTTCTCATCATCAGCATGTTTAGCATTTGTCGATCTCTTCCTTTTATTACTCCTCTGATCCATTTCCAAAGTAACTAAGCACTCACTCTTGATATACAAATCAGACGTACCTTTGACGGATTTACTACTTACATTCTCCTCACAGTCAGGCACTTTCTTGAAATATGGAGAACAGCTTGCCATCTTAGCTTCCTCTTCAGGCCCATTAATGTCACAATAATTCTCTCTCTGCTTCTTCCTTTTCATTTTTCTCCGCTTTTTTCCTTTATTATTCTGCTCCATATCCATACATATATCCTGCATAACATCATTACAGATACCATCGATACATACATCCTGCATATTATCATTACTGGGTTTTGCTTCAGTAGAATCATTATTATCACAACTCAGAGCCCTATTCTTTTTTCTTCTCGCTTTCCTCCTCTTTTTCCCATTATTATTATGCTCCCCATCCATACATACATCCTGCATATCATCATTACTCATTGCTGCTTCAGTAGAAACATTATTATCACAGCTCAGAGCCCTATTCATTTTTCTTCTCCCTTTCCTCCTCTTTTTTGCTGTAGTATTTGAAAATCCATCACATGATTGATTCAACGAGAAGGTCATCCCCAATTTCTCATCATTTATCGCCTTTCTATTTTTAACTTCAATTGTTTGTCCAGAAATCGCGCACACACTCTCAGTAGGCTCCATATCTGAGTCTCTATTGTGCTATATTTTCACCACACAAAAAAAAAAAAAGTTGAAACAAAAACCAAACCCAGCTCTCAAACAAAAAAAAAAAAAAAAAACAGAAATTCCATGGGAAACCCCAGAAAAGGGCTCAGAGAAGAACTGAACCTGCAAAAGTGAAGATCGGCGCTTCGGACATTAGGCGCCAAAATCGAAGTGGGTTAGAATATTCTAGCGCTTCTCTGATTTTTCTTTTTTCTTAATACGGAAAAGGGCCTAAAATGTTAAAATAGGTCTTTATTCTGTCTTTGTCGTTAATAAACGGGCTTGTATATTTCTTTTAACGGAAGACTCATAAAGCCACGTGAAATATATATAAGAGCAAGTTAGACCTAGTTCGAATTGTACATGGGCATATATGAGTTAGTTATAATAGTCATTTCTCAAACACTTCACAACTCCATATCAGTTTACTTAGATAGCTATTTGAAAACACCAAACTAATTATCATAGCAAATAAACTCAGTCATAGACACAACAAATGAACGGCAATGACTTTATTAAATCCTTGTATAAAAACATAAAGCTTCATTACATAATAAAAGACAACAATTAAGCCACAATAACACTAACATTACATATCATTTCGCACTTATCCAAAGAGCATAACAAGACATCCCAATATCACACACATGAAAATCCACATCTTCTTCCGAAATCTTGCCATTCCCAATAGGAATATTTTTCATCCTAAAAACCAAAAATAAATAAAACAAATTTACAAGCAAATCGGAATAATTAAAAGAATCCATCAAAAATTTTACTTACCTCATGCTTCGGGCACTTGAAAAACCTTCTTCTAGCATTTAAAGGTGTCCATGCCATGAAATAATTGGCAGTAAATCTGTAATGACACCTGTTAGCGGAAACGTAAAAAGAAAGAACACAAGATTTAACGTGGTTCGGATCAAAATAATCCT